CAGAGCAAGACCTCGTCTCCACGAAAAAACATTCACTGGGCGAGGTGCATGCCGGTGGTTCCAGCTCCTCTGGGTGCTGAGGTGGGAAGATCGCCGGAGCCCAGGAGTTGAGGCTGCAGGGAGCCATGGCTGAGCCACTGCACTCTAGCCTGGATAGCAGAGTGAGACCCCCACCCAAAAAGGGGAAACTTTTGACAGGAAAAGACAGATTTATTAGATGAAGCTTTGAGAAACCTAGGAGAGATTTGGAAAGTATTAAAGAGAACCAGAGGGTGTCTGAGAGCTGAAACCTACACGACCTGAGATGGAACGGAGGCCCGAAGGGGGATGTGAGGAGTCGGAGATCCTTGAGGGGATGAGCAGCCCGTGGGTTGTGGTGAAGGAAGGGTCAGGGGCGGGGGCTCAGCAGAAGCCGCCAGCTGCAGCTCGGGCCTTTGGTGCAGCTCCTCTGTGCAGCCCTGGCCAGGCTGCGTCTCTGGGTCCGTTGTGCGGTGGGCATTCTGGAGAGGCACTGGTCGCTTCAGGAGGGAAGGCCTGGGCGGCACAGGCGGGGGCTGTCTTGGACGACCATTTCTCCCCAGAATGGACAGGCTGTTGGTGGCCGTGGGGGCTTTGAAAGTGCCGGACTGGACAGGAATAGTTGGAATCAGGGGTCCAGCCGGGTCGCTTGGTCTGGCGACCGCTGCTATCACAGAGCAGCCCGGCACATGCCCTGCAAGGAGAAGCTGTGTGGCCCTTGCTCAGAGCCCGTCTGAGGGCCAGCGGGCAGCAGCAGGGGGCATGGACCTGTGGGGGGGCACACGCATGTGGCCAGGTCCTGGCGTGAGGTGACCTGTGTCGTCACTGGGCCTGGGTCTCCGTCCCCATCTGGGCGCTGGGCCTAGTGGGCTCCAGTTTCCAGCGGCAACGAGCCCTGAGCCACGCATCAGAACCTAGGACGTGCCCAGCGCCTCTGCCAAGCCAGCGCCACAGATCACGCAAGGCTCTGGAAAGACAGCAGTGCTCACTGCTGTCCTCTGAGCCTCTTCACGTGCCAGGTGCCGAGCTAAGTGCCTCACACGCAGCATCTCACTCCATCCTCAGCACAAACAAGGAACACACATGGATGGGCACTGCTCTCCTCATGTCCACATGAGAGGCCCCAGCTCAGGAGACAGCAGACATGTCAGGGTCCCACGGTTGGCCAGGGCGGCCCTGCACTCAGCCCCGCCAGCCCCTGACAGTGAGACCCGACTCCGCTGTTCTCGGGAGAGGAAGCATAGGCGGGTGTCCCCATGGGGCTGGGAGTCCTCTTTTCTAAGAGGAAGGACGAAAGACAAAACCAGCCGCTTCTCAGAGCCAGTGCTGGCAAGGGAAGAGTGTGCATGCCTCCGTTGTCTTGGGACCCTCGCCGTGCTGCGTCTCAGGATAGACATGAAGAGCTCCTTCCTCTTCGCAGGAGCAAGGCCTGGCTGGCTTCTCCTGCTTGGCCTATGGTGGGAGGGGCACAAGGGCCGGGACTTGAGAGCCCCTGGAGGCACAATCCAGCTTCATTGGCAGACCCCCACCGTGTGCACACACACGCACGCACACACACGCCCCCCTCCTCCTGCAGCAGGCCGTGGTCGGGAGTCTGAGCATGCCTTCCCGGCGCCATGCTGACTCTGCTCTCGGGACCCAGGACCACCTGCTAGGCTGGCCAGCGGGACTTCTTGGCAGGGGCCCTTGGCTGTGTCCACTGTTCTACCGGGACAGAGCGGTGCAGTCAGCTGGTCCCGCCCTGCGGGGAGGCAGGAGGGAGGGCAGCTGGGACGTCCCTCGACGTGGGGCTCCCTCCTCCCTCCTGCCCAATGTTCCCTGTCCCCACACATTCCCAAGCGGCCTCTTTGTCTCTGGCCGGCTGGAGGCTCTTCCCCACCTTGGGGCCAACTCCCCCCGCCCTTCCAGGGTGAGAAGGAAGCTCATTAAGAGGAACTGGTGTGTTTGACATCCTGGACACTCTGAAGGTCAGCCCGGGCCTGCGGGGACACGTGGCCCTGCACTTCACGTGGTCGGACCCGCGCCGGATGAGGACGGGCTCTGACCCTCCGGAGGCTGCGTGAAGCCAGAGGGGCCTGACTGGACCTGCCTCCAGGGAGGCCTGCCTGGGGGCGCTGCCTCCTGGATCTGCGGGGGGCCGGGGCACAGCTGGCTTGGTTTCCACCGGAGGGAAGGGACTGGGAGCCGCCAGTGGGGCTGCTTCTAACTTGGGGCTCCTGCAGAAGGTTGTGGAGGCAGCTGGGACCCAACACCCTGCGGCTGGGACGCCGCCAGCCCGTGCCTGCGCGGGTGGGCAGGAAGTCCTCCTTTCCCGTCTCACACCCGCACGCCGCTCCCACAGTCGGAAGCAGATGGGCCGCAGAGGCGGCGAGCGCGAGGTGTGCCGGGGCCGGAGGCGATCCCAAAATGGAGTGGGTGGAGACTCGTCTCTGGAGGGGGAGACTTCACGGGGGGGTGTTAGCCGGGGGAGATGCCCCAGGACAGGACCGGGCACTGGTGAGAGATGGGGCTCGTGTCTCTCTGTCTACCCGCCAACAGCTGGCACCACATCCCTTTTGCCAAGAGCGCTGCGTGCACAGTCTCACGTGAGCCTCACCAAACCCTGCCAGGCTGTCGCTTCTGCTCACACCAGACTCAGGGACTCTGGTTTCCTGGGGGCCTGGAGAGAGGAGGAGCCAGGCCAGAGTGCAGAGCCAGGGCAGATGCTGAAAACTGAGTGTTGGCCCCGGGTGTGGGGCACTGCCGTTCTGTCCTGCACCAGCCAGAACAGTGACTCGCGGTGCCCTGATTTCCACCGTCTGAGACTGGGGAAGTCGCCTCATCTCTCTGCCCTGGGCTCTGTGTCTGGGGTGGGGAGCTGAGCGCTGCTCTCTGGGGTCTCTTAGGAGGCACAGGTGAGAGAAGGCTTGTAAGGTGCTGGTCAGTGCTTGTCCTGAAACAGCACAATTGTTCACTCATTCGTCAAACGTGTCCGAGTGCCTGTCTCATGCCGGCCACCGTCCTAGTTGAGCAGGCCAGATAAGTCCCAGGTACGTCCAAGGGTGCCAGCGCGTGTGCCAGGTGACATCATGCAGCGGCACGTGGCTGCAGGAAACCCAAGGGCGGTGACAGTGACCACAGAGCTGGGAGGGCCTGCCCAGCTGCTCGGCTGGGGAGGTGGCTTCGAAGGCAAGTCCGAGTTCATTCTCAGAGAGCTGGAGCCTCCTGGACTTGGGGCACGGCGTGTGGATGGCACGTGGGCGTGGGAACTGCGCCGGAGGCAAGCGAGACCCCGCACAGGGCCAGCTGGGCGGATGGGGGTGGGGCTGCACACAATGCAGGAAGCGTTGGCACCGTGGCCAGTCTTCGGAGAGCTCCGGTCAGGAAGGTGATGTGATCCGATTCACTTACTCAGAAGGTAACCTTGGTGGCTATGTGGATGGTAGGAGGAGGTCAGGGTTGCAGGTGATGGTGGAGGCTGGACAGGGTCCACGTGGAAGGCAGAGGGTGGGAGAGTCTCGTGGAGAGACCGGCTGTCCACTGGGAGGGTTTTGTGAAGAGACAGGCTACTCATGGGAGAGGGTCTCGTGGAGGGACGGGCTGTCCACAGGGGAGGGTCTCGTGGAGGGACGGGCTGCCCATGGGAAGAATCTTGTGGAGAGATGGGCTGTCCATGGAGGGTCTCAGGGAGACATGGGCTGCCCACGGGGGAGGGTCTCATGGACAGATGGGTTGTCTGTCCTCAAGCCGGCTTTCCCAGAATGGCCTTGCCTTGGGCCTCATGACTGGTCAGTTGTGGAACTGTACTCGGTCCTGTTGCTGTGGAAACACAGCTGGTGTCATCTTCCATGGAGCAGTGCCCATGGAGGGTCTTGCTTCTTAGTGGTGGGATTTGATGCCTTTTTGGGGTGCTACTGAATGTCTATAATGTCGCCTGGATTCCTGCAAAGAGTTGGGGTGCATAAGCTTTCTCTAGATGACCAGATGGGGATTCTGCAGGCCTGCCTGTCTCCTGCCACAATGACTCAGTTTTGCCACAATAACGCAAAGGCAGCCAGCAACAACACACGCGTGCAAGTAGGTGGCTGTGTTCCAATAAAATTTTTTTAAAGAACAGATGGAGGGCCGGATCTGACCCGTGGTTATAGTTTTCCAGTCCCAGGTGGAGAATACCATTTATTTCATGACTCAAATAATTTTTTCTTAAAACCACTTCCAAACACATTCCCCAAACATTTGGGAACAAAAATAGGGCCCATCTCCCACAGCTGTGCCGTCTTAGCTTCAAGACTGCTCAGTCTCGTGGCTTCCAGACCTGAGGGACTCTGCAGGGTGACTCCATGAGCCAGGTGGGGTGGGGTGGGAGATGTCAGACTTGGCTTCTGCATCCACCGGGAGCCCCTCTTGGATTCCTGGGGTTGTTTTTAATTGATGGTCTTGATAAGACTTTGTTTGAACAAAAGGAATTGGGGGCAAGGAAAGATGTGCAAACCTCAATCCAGTTTGCGTGGCCGGGATGCGCTCTCCCTGCGTGCCAGGCACCAGCGGGGCATTTACGACACGGACGCTCATTGGACACCGCACAGGTGTTCTGACTGGTTGGAGCAGGTAGGGTCTGCGTTCCGAGCCTTTTGTGCAGGGCAGCAGAGGTGATCAGCAGGCCTGGGGAGGCAGGAGCAGAGGTTGGCCTCCTCATCTGGGCACAGCTGGGTCTGTGTCTGCTCTGCCACTTGGTGGCCGGGACGCTGTTTGTTCACTCTGGTTACTGTTCTGCTTTCCCAGCCACAAAACCAGGAGGAGCCCCCTCCCTTCCCAAGCTGTTGGTGGATTAAGTGAGCGAATCTCTACCAATGGCCCCTCACAGGGCCAGCGTCCTGAGAATCACAGGCTCCCTCCTCCCTTCACTCTCTGCTCTCGGGTGCGCTGAGCCCAGAGGCCGTTGAGACCTCCCGGTCAGTTCCTGCCGGCCTTGAATCCACGTCTGACCTTTCCTCCTCTTCCAGGCTGTGGCCAGGTTCTGCGCGCCCCGCAGGGCCAGATTCTGCTGGAGGGCTACCCCCTGAATGCGCGCTGTGAGTGGACCATTCATGCCAGGCCCGGGTTCATCATCCAGCTGAGGTAGGGGCGGGGCGAGGGGGGCTGGGTCACGGGAAATGGCTGCGGCACAGAGAGCAGGGACCCGGTGCCCTGGGGGTGACTGTCCACGCCTCTTTTTAGAGGCTGGAAACGTGCATTGGCACATTCCCTGTATTCCGGGGCTGCTGTGGGGGGCTGGGCCCACGTGACAGTGACTCGATGCTTGACACTCAGCCACAGACAGAGAAACGCAAAGACAACAGGCACAGAGCGAGCGCCAGGATCCGTCTCCTCACCCAGGGCTCTGTAAGGAGACCGGCTCATCCAGCAGTGGGTGGGTCCCGGGACCAGGATATGAACGCGCGAGGCCTGGATGTATCCCCTTAGACGTGAGGCTGAAGGTGTCCCCTAGGCATGAGGCCTTGCTGGTCTCACATTCTGGGGACTTGGGACTCGAGTGAGGTTCATGCTGCCACTGCCACTCTCCAGAGCAGCACACGTCCCCACAGAACATGCCAGCTCTCCCTCGAGTGGAAGAGAAGCGGCTTCTTACAGAATTGGGATCCTGCAATCATTTAGTCTGTACCACGGCCCAACAGGCAGACCCCTCTAACTGTAGCTACTGGTGGACTCTGCAGGGAGTGCTGGTCGCTGAGACCACGGGCCGCTGCGTCCTGGGTCTGGACCGGTCTCGGTGCACTCCAGGTGGATGGGCTCTGCTCACACGAAGTGTCGGGGACGTACAGCTCTCTGACCCCAGCGAAGCTTCTCTGCCCTGGGGAACACCTTTCTTTTCCTTGCCAGGGAGGCGGAGAAGCCCTCCCAGCCCTGGGCGCCCCAGGACCGTCGTCCGCTTTCTCTTCCTGTTTCCAGCCTGGGGTGAAGATGGAGAAGACGGAAGTCCTGGGTCCTCTGGGGCACGTGCTTTCATGAGTGTTTTCTGGGAGCCTGGTGTGTTCAGGGGAGGGATGACCATGGTGGCGATGAGAAAGCCATGGCGTGTTCAGCCCAAAGCCCAGCATCATCCCTGAGTCCTTTCCCATTCTCCACCACAGTTAGACCATCTCAAAAGTCCCCTTTCTCTCCGCAACGGGTCTCAAGTTCATGGGCATCTCTGTCCCTTTGGTCACCATCCGCCTCAGACCCCCCAACCTGGGACGGCCGTGGCCTCCCCACTGGCCTCCTGCCTCCACCCCTGCCCGCTCAGCCATCTCCTCTGGCAGAGTCTGGAGTGAGTGGTGGGGCCAACTGCTCTATCTTGGATGCAGAGCCGCCATGTGGCCTTCTGCTTGCCCCTGCTCTAGGGAGGCCCCGGGGATTTCTCTTTCATCCAGGGTTCTTCGAGCCTGTGCGTGCTGAGAGCCTGACCTCGGGCAGATGCACACGGCGCCTTGCCTTGCCCCGGGCGAGTCGCTGACTCCACCGCCCTGCACAGCCCAGCTGTGGTACGCAGGCCTGGCACTGGGTAGACAGTGTGGATCTGCCATCCCGGCCTGCACCTGCCCAGGACTTTGTGGCTTCTAAGTGCCCGCAAGCACTTCCTTCTGAAAAGCTGAATGTGTCCTGCCTCTGTATTGGCTTCTCAGCTTCCTCGGCCTTGGGGCAGGGGTCCAAGGCCCAGCCGCTGCAGAAGAGACCTAAACCCGGATCCAACCACCCTTCTCTTGTTGGCTTAATATAGCCCAAATTTCCCACCAGGCAGGATCTTCCTCCTGGCCCCGTCACACGTCCCTCCCTCCCTCACCGCCTGTAGCACCCCTGCCACCTTGGAGCATTTGCATGGACAGATCCCCGCTGGCTCCACCCTTTGGGACTCACGTGGCCAGCTCCACGGCACCCCTTAGCCACGTCCTTGGCCGCCTGCATCAGAACCCGCCCCGCCCACCACCCCGGTGCTCCTGTCTGCTTTCCTTGGACCACACTGTGCTCTGGGATCCGTGCGCTTCTGGTCTCCTGGTCCATCTCTGTCTCCCACATCAGACCTCTCCCCATGAGGGCAGGCGTGTATCCAGCTGGCCGTCGGGGCCCTGCTGGCAGCCCCTGGGACAGAGACCATGCCCGGCACAGATCCGGCCCCCACACACGCTCAGTAAGTGAACAAATGAATGACTACGTGAATGCGGTTGCAGCCACGAGGTCTCCTCTCAGCCTCAGGAAGGGCTGCGGCCCGGCGGGTGGGGATCTCTCCTCATCCTCTCTCTTCAGAGGCCGAGAGGAGCTGTGAGTCCAGTGACTGAAGCGAGTGATGGTGGTGTCTGGGTGGGGCGGCTGATGTCCTCGAAGTCGGAGGACTCTGCTTTCTGTGAAGTAAACAGCGATGACACCCCGCCCCCGGGTTTCCACTCTGAGGACCTTGGAGAGCATCCAGAAAGGGCTGGTACCACCACATCCCAGGGCCCCGGGCTGGACACATGGCTTCCACCCTGGGTGGTAGAAGCGTCCTGAGCCCAAGGGTTCCGGCAGATGTCATGAGCCTCCGCCTGTTTCCACGTCTTCTGCAGAGCATGGAGGCGGAGACCTTGGGAGACTGGCCCTTGGCATCCCTGGGGAATCCCGGGCCGGCTCTGTGGCTCCCGGCCTGGGCCATGGCTGCTACCCTCTTGCGTGGGCTTGTGTGGATTTGCCGATCTGACGTGGCCCTGTGTCTCCAATCCCGAGACCCCCTTTAGAGGAGCATGGGTGTGCCCGGTCTCCTTAGCCCTGAACTTCTGGCTCTGTGCTGATTTCTCTGCCCTCGGGCATGAGGATGATTGATAGCCAGAAGAAAGTGACCTGGTCCTTCCGTCGCACAGGGGCATGTGCAGAGGATTTTTCCTTTCCTCACCCTGCAAAGCATTCGCCCTCCATCTGGATGTTGCGGTCGGTGTCTGGCCGGCCGGCCATCCAACAGTGTCTGTGGCACCCTTTGTGCAGGGCACTATGGAAGCAAAGTTAGAGACGGACGCCCCACCTGCCCCTAAGGGGCTTGAAGGCTCATGGCAGAGATGGGCCAAGAAGAAGAGTCCAAGAGATAAAATCAGAATTAAAGTTCGTGTCTACATCGCAAGGAAAGCCAGGCTCACCTCTGGAGCGGCCAGGGCCTCTTCGGGGGGTGCTTAAGCTCAGGCCTGAGTACGGGAAGGAAGCAACCACGCCAGCCGGGAGTTGGGGGCGGGAGGGGGCCACGTGGAGCCTCCGCGTGCACTCAGGCACCTCCGCCATGTTAGACCAGGCCGAGGGCAGCTCCGCCCCCAGACCCACCCCGCTCTGGCCTCAAGCACGCCCAGTCCTGGGTGGCAGAGGCCCACTCGTCCCTCCCCCGCAGGTTTGTCATGCTGAGCCTGGAGTTCGACTACACGTGCCAGTATGACTTCGTCGAGGTCCGGGACGGAGATGGCAGCGATGGGCGGATCATCAGGCGCTTCTGTGGCAACGAGCGGCCATCCCCCATCCGCAGCACGGGCTCCTCCCTCCACATGCTCTTCCGCTCTGACGGCTCCAAGAACTTCGACGGCTTCCATGCCGTGTTTGAGGAGGTCACAGGTGAAGGCTGTGGGTCCCCAGGGCGTCGGGCCCCCCTCAGTCTCCAGATAGATTCCTCCCCCGGCCTCCCTTGCTCCCACTCGGCCTTGATCAAACCCGGCCTGCTGCATTCTCCAAAGCCGGAGACACGGGAGAGGGACAGACGAGCCCGCCTGGGGCCGGAGAGGGGGTGGCGATCTCCTTGTGCAGGTGGGGGAGGCGGGAGCACAGAGAGGCCAGGTGACTCACCGAGTCGCCCGGCTGTGGGGCAGAACCAGGGGCCTACACCCATGCGGGGAGGCTCCAGCGCTCGCCCGAGCGGGTGCTTGTGGCCAAGGGCAAGGGCTGTGGACTCCCAGCAGATTCAGCTGTGGGCCCTGCGTGAGCTCTCCTCCTCGGGGCCTCAGTTTCCCCATTAGTGGCAAGGACGTAGCAACAGATCCTGCTCTGCTAGGGAGGCCTGGGGGATAACACAGGAGGTGTGGGGCACAGTTGTCACACGGGAAGGCATGACAGTTGCTGTGCGAACTGTGGCTCTGGGCCAGGACGCATTCGGCACCGGTTGAGTGGATGTGGACAGGTGGGTGGCACGCAGGCCCAAGTTGCCCAGGGAGTTTCCCAGCAAAGTCGTCCCCAGGATGCCTAAAGGATGGGGGTTCAGGGTCTGAACGACTGAAGAGTGTGAATGTTCTTAGCAACCCTGACAGCTGCCAGGAGAGGTCAGGGTAAGCCCACTGGGTGCTGCAAGGTCCCCGGCACACGCCGGTCAAGAGGCCTCATCTAGAGGGAACCCACTGGGAGCTGCAGCATCCCCAGCACACGTGAGCCCAGGGTCCTCATCTAGAGGGACACCCACTAGACACTGCAGTGCCGCAGTGCATGTGGCCCGTGGCCGTCATCTGGTGGGACACCCACACGTCAGCATCCCAGGGCACTGACGTTGGTAGAAGGACGTTTGGTGGCTCTCAGTGAGTGTCACGAGGATGCCTTCCCACTGTGGCCCCCGTACCTGGGTGCTGCATGCTTCCGATGGGTGGCCTGCTGTCCCCGGGGTGGCTTTCCTCACTGTGTTCTTTGGAGAGATGGCAGTGTGACTCCATGCCGCCTTAGTATCTGCCATGTCTCTCGGGCTGGGGGGTTCGTGTGTACTTCTGGGGCCTTCGCACGTGTCAGACAGGCTCCACCATGTGTGACACCCACTGAGGGACTGTCGGGGCGTTCTTGGGTGGTGGTCCCAGGAAAGCAGCAGGAGTCCAAGTCCCAGGAGGGCCCCAGCAATGTGGCAGCCTCCCGGTGTGGGCTGTGGCCGTCAGCAGCCACGCCGCCAACCCCACCTCTTCTCTTGCAGCCTGTTCCTCCTCCCCGTGCATGCACGATGGCACTTGCGTCCCAGATGGAGCTGGGTCCTACAGGTGTGCTTGCCTGGCGGGCTACACTGGGCGGCGCTGCGAAGACCGTGAGTGTGCCTCGCTGTGGGGGAGGGGGCAGTGGCTCACGGGCCTGTCCAAGGCGGTGGGATGCGAGCACTCCACCAAGGGTCCCAGAGGGCTGCACTGCCTCTGGGTCAGGGGCCTGGAGCCCCCAGGCTTGCCTACAGATATCAGCCCCCACTGGCTACACACACTTTCAGAACAAAGAGGCCTCAAGGGCCTAGGACAGACCCGGGACATGGAGGACGGGCCTAGGAATGAGTCTGTCCATCCTAAGGTGTGGACACGCAGCCTTGAGTGCCGAGGACAGCACCAGAACCCTGAGAAGGAGCTGTCTGTCCTACAGTGCCACGGAGGGTTGGGCTCCAAGGGGTTGCTACTCCCTCAGCCAGCGGTGAGGTTGGGAGAGGTGCTGGTGGCCACCGGCCCCATCTCCTGAGGGTCTCAGGCCCTGCGTTGTGAGGCTGAGTGTCCTGGAGTGTGTGACACGTGACATGACCATTCTGTAGACATGCGGTGCTTTGGGACGTGCAGACGATGATTGAGGGTCGACTGTCTCTCGGGGCCTGGGGAGGAGGACACGCCTCCCTGCGTGTGGCCGTAGGTGCCTGTGGCGCCAGGCAGTTCTGTGGAAGAGAGTCCCAGGTAACTAGCCTCAGGCTGGGAGAGGACGTGCTCCTGCAAACAGTGTACAGAGCCCAGGGTGCAGCGCCCACCGTGCCCACCTCAGCTGCCGGTAAGGAGCACTCACGGGTGCCTTGTGGCCATTCAGGACCTGGACATTGGCATTCTCTAGGGGCCATGTGTGTTTGAGTTCATCGGCATGGATGCTCCCCTGCACTCAGCACGGATCTTGGGTCTCCAGCGTGCGCTGAGCTCAGGAAGCCTCCTCCGTTCAGGTGAGGTTGACTCTGCTCCAGGGGAAAAGCACATCCTGTCTCGTGACCCGCCTCCTCCGAGTCTGCCACGTGGCGTGTCAGGCAGATGGGAGAAAAGTGCATGTCTCATTTCTGGAGCATGTGTGGAATCTTGAGCCTCGACAGCAGCAGGGGCTGCCGCCAGACGCAGAGGGAAGAGAAAGGGAGGCGTCTTCCACGAGGGCCGCAACTGGGGCTCTACGGGCAGAGAGTGAGTGGAAGGAGAATCCACATCCCCACGCATGTCAGATGCCCTGAGGAAGCCGGGCCAAGGCTCCACACGTCGGATAACAAACTGGGGATAACAAAGTAGCCCCGATGACAGGAATTAAAGTATTCCCGTATGGATCATGATGGCAAGCGCTTGTCTCAGCGTCGTTATTCTCTCAGGAAAGACATGGGCCTGAGGCAAGATGTGGAGAGGGTCGCTGAGGACGGACCTGCACTCGGTCTGCACTGTCTCAAGTCACCGAAACACCCGCCGGATGGGCAGGACACTTCCTCTGGCATCCAGAATGTCGTCCACACCTGCAATCCCCACGGCGTGCATGGGTGTGGCAGGAGGACCCAGTACACGCGTCTGGGAGCATCACCGGGAACTGGGGCCTTCCGTTTTCTGTCGGGTCTAGGTTTTTTCCTTCAGGGAACTCAGCATGAGTGCCCACTCCATGGGGGCATCACACAGCGGGCCCTGGCGCTTTACCTCACAGCGTCCGAGGAGATCTGGACCTTGTTCCAGAGCATCTGTTGACCAGAAAAGAAAAACTGAGGAAGAAAGTGTCTCTCCTGTTTCCTCTTGAGTCTACCAGCAAGCTCGACAAATCTACCGGAGGAGGGTCTTTCAAAGTTAGGAAGAGATGCAAGCATTAGGGCTCTCCAAACTCTCAGGCACCCATAGTGGACCCAGCCTTTGGTTTGTTTTTATTTTTTAAAAATTGTCTGTAGAGACAGGGTCTTACTATATTGCCCAGGCTGGCCTCGAACTCTTGAGCTCAAGCAATCCTCCCACATTAGCCTCCCAAAGTGCTGGGATGACAGGCGGGAGCCACTGTGCCCGGGCAGGCTCTTGCTTTTTAGAAAACTAGCTTTCAAAGCACTGAAGCCAATATTGGCAAGAGCCCTGTCTTAGGCACGTCATCCCAGGCCTGGGGAGGGGAGACTCGCAGAAGCCTCTTCAGCAACCTGGTCTCATTGCGTCTCTGTGGTGAGGCAGGGGCTCCTTGCTGCTGATGGATGATTGAGGCAGAGGGCAGGACGCTGGCCCTGCCAAATCCAAAGGCAGAGGCCAGGCTGCCCATACCCCTCCTGGGTCACAACTGCAGTCGGGGTCTCGCTGAGGGCATGGTGGGACTCGAGGGTCAGTAGAACATGTCCCAAGGCGCTGCTCTCAGGCCTTCCCCTCTGGGTGGGGCTTGTTCACACCCTGTTCCCAGCGGAGTCCTGGTGGACAGTCCCTTGGGACCAGCCTCCTTCCCACCCTCCTGGCCTGGGAGTGGGGTGGAGGAGGGGCAGATTCCTACTTAATAGCAGAAATACGCACTTCTCCCCACAATCATATAGCACAGAGGTGTCTACCATAAAAAGAGGGCATTGCTCTTGCTGGCCAGTCCTGGTTCCCAGGGAGCCACAGCTACAACTTGGGGAATGTCCTTCCAGACTGTCTTCTGTGGCATGCAAGCCTGTGTTGTCTGCATGACAGCATATTATTATTATTTTTGAGATGAGTCTTCCTATGTTTCCTGGGCTTATCTCCAGTGAATCTCCTACCTCAGCCTCCAAGGAGCTGTGACGACGGGCATGTGTTGCTGTACCTGACTATATGTCATTGTTTATTTACTTTTGAGTTGGAGTCTCACTCTGTCACCTAGGCTGAAGAGCAATGGTAAACTCGCAGCTACCCCAGCATCGACCTGCTGGGAAGAACTGCTGGGCTCTGGTGATCCTTCTGCCTCAGCCTTCCAAGTAGCAGGAACTACAGGTGGGCACCACCATGTCCAGTTAATTTTTAATTTATTGTAGAGACAAGGTTTTGCCAACCCGCGGGCTTGGCAATCCCCTTGCTTCAGCCTCCCAAAGTGCTAGACTGACAGGCAGCCTGTATGTCATTATTTTAAACAATGGTGGCGATGCTGCTCTCCGTGCCCACCTCAGGGGACATCAGGCCCTGTCTGGGAATGGTGTTGGCTGTTATCCCCAGGTGGGTGCTGCTGGCCTCTGGTGGGCAGAGGCCATCCTGCAGGGCACAGAGGTCCCCAGCAAGGAGCTATCCGGCCCACCGTCAGTAGTGCTGTGACAAGAAACCCTGTTTTAAACAAGAGTGGGTAAGGCACACACACAACTTTCCAACATATTTTCTTTGCCTGTGCCACGGATATTTTTTCCAGGTCAGTCCTTGTGGAAGCTCACTTGTAAACATGACAACTGAGAGTTCGCTGTACAGATGGATGTCTAAGCACGTCCTCATCTGTGTCCTTGAGGCAGACAGGCGACGGCTGCGCTGTGCTGTCATAAGGTGACGGCAATGCCTCTCCCGGCGTGTGTCTCTGTTCACACTGCTGGGGTCACTTCTTGGAGGCTGAGTTGCAGGGTCACAGGACGCACACCCTTCACCAGTGAGAGCTGTGGTGAGGATCCCTGGAAGGCAGTGCCAGCTGACAGGATGAGCCAGTCACCTATGCACCTGTCCTCGGAGTGGATGTGAGACCTGGTTGCAGGAACCAAGGTCTGTCCCTACAGGCAGGAAACCAATTCTTTGCAAGGAACTCCAGTTGGGCGAGTCTTGGAAAATTTGGTGGGAAATTAGACAAAGGATGGGAGAGGGGGCGGACCAAGTCCAGCGTCCCAAGGGCGTGAGGCCCCCCGATCACTTTCCCCAACTCTTCCAAGGAGGAGAAACACTCCCCACCTGGGGTGACCCCCACGGACACAGAACAAGGGGCGTGGCCTCCTGGCAACTCCGGCCAAGCCTCCCCGGCCACCGTGTAGGAAACCAGGCGTCTTCCCTCTGAAGTTTCCTGCCTCTTTGTGAGGCGCACAACAGTAGAATGAGTCTTTGCGCAAATGGTCGGAGTCTTGTTTTGAAAAGCAAGGATTCGGCGTCCGGCCCTGGTTTCCATGCCGCTTTGTTCCCTGGCCCCATTGCCGGTGGTCCCCTGCATCCCAATGAAGGCGATGAAACAGCTCTGGGCTCTGACACGCCTTTAGCAAACACCCGGCCTCCCCAGTTAAAGGGGAACCAGCAAGTCTCAGGGGGCCTGGAGTCTCGGGAACTTTCCACTGGCCTGTCCCCAGGCCTGGGAAGAAAGAGCTGGGGGCACACTTGACACAGGGGCTTCAAAGGCGACTGCCTTTGTGTGCGTGTGACCGCCTTTGTGCGCCTGCATGGTGAGGAGCCCTGGGTTTTCTCAGAAAGGCTGAAGGGTGGGACGCACAGGGACCTCTGGAGGGTCGCTGCTGTCTCCAGCACACATGGATAGATCACAGGCCGCGAGCTGGAGGGACGGTCGTCAGCTGCCTGGGATTCCCTGTGGGAGGCAGTGAAACAGAATCATTCCTGCCTTTCCACAGCCTGATGGCTCTCGTCCCTGATGTGAGAGGCCAGGTGCGTCTTGTCCATCAGAAGAGAGCTTGCCTGGGTGGAGACACTGGAATCCCATGAATCCCAGACCCATGTAACGCTGAGTCCGCAAGTTGCTGGCCACATGGCCTTCAGCAAGTCACTTGGCTCCTATGAGCCTCAGGTTCCCCGTTTATAAAGGCCAGAAAAATAATACCCGATCCCTCTCAGAGGGGCTGGGACTGATGAACTGATGTGTGTGAGGCCCGAGCTGAGCCAAGGGCCACTGTTCCCACTGCTGCTTCTGGCTCTATGTTACAGCCGTTTAAAGGTGTGGCAGGAAGTAGGGGCTCCCGGGTAAGGGCTCAGGATGACAGCACTGGTTTCTACGACCAAAGGGTGACAAGCCACCCACGGGGCGGGGCTGAGGAGATGCTCCCAAGACCTCTGCGTGTCCTCTGTCGGCCGGCCCACATGCCAGCAAGGACAAGCAGATGGTGCAGTGTCATCAAGGAGACCCTGGACCCAGGGACTCCCTCCCCCCGCCCCACTG